CCTAAATAGATTCTCATACAGTCGATTGCCTGTCACACATGAGCGGTATAATTTATAAGTATTTGATTAAATTCCACATGAAGAAACAACACGTTATTGTGATTTGTTAAACTGCTTCTCTCCCTCTTTTTTTTTTTTTCCCCCCTCACTGAATGCTCAATGAAGCATTTGTGGTGCAGAAAGCATCCAGCTCTCAGAGGTTAAAATAGCTGCCTGCTATTTTGGTGTAAAGAGCATGCAGCTCTTTGGCAGCCGTCCCACTGCAGCCGAAAGTCAGATTCAGTGAAGAGTCAGAGAAATACAAAGAATTTGGCTGGGCTTTTGATCCGGACAACATGTTGAGACATTGTTTATAGTGTTAAGGAATGCTGACAGAAGGCACAAAACAACGCTCTCGTGTTGCAACCATCCCCTCTCACCTTCTTTTAATTTTCTTAATATTGACACGTTTTTGCTTGTTCAATAAAAACCTGCCACTGCTGCTGTCTGTCTCCTCGTGTTTCCAAAGGAAGAGGACATAAAAGAGCTGCTGCAATCCAATGATCCCCTCTGCTTTTAGGATGAGAGAACAGAATAATTGAAATGTGTTTGAGCTGCAGCATTAAAAAAAAAAAAAAAAAAAAGGCGAGCCAAGTGTTATGCAGCACATTTGATGCATCTGCAAAACAGCAAGGGCAACGGAGAGATGCTGATGAGTGCACGATTCGGAGTACTGCGCTGAATACGATTCACGGGAAACAAAATCTACTGCGTTTTTCACATTTCAGCCCTATTTAATTATTGTTCTTTGCAAAAAAAATAAATAAATAAAACGACTCAAGGTTTCCTCGCAACAAAAGAGAAGCTTTAGCGAACGCAGAGGAGCATCAATGCTGAGAAGAACGAATAAAAGGTTGAATCAATAAAACATCTAGTCAACTAAAATTGGAACAAGCGTGCGTCTGTCTTAAAGGAAACAGATATGTGCATGATCTGAGCCAGGGAGTACGTCGGAGTACAGTACATCTGGCAAACATCGAATACTTTCAAGATCAAATGATTTAATTCATCTGTAGTGTCTGCTGTTGCTCAAAAAATACATCTGAGTTTTTAAATAGCAAATTATTCTAAATTGCTTCTCAGTTGCTATGGATACCCCCCCCCCCC